TACATGTAACTATTTTAAATTATTAATAAAGATATAAGCAAGGCCTCACCTTAATACCAAAAAAAAAAAAAAATAATTGTTATTTCTACTAATCTTTCAACTCAATTTTTTAGTTAAGTTAATACAAATAACAAAACTCTTAACTTTAATACCAATCATTTAGATCTCTTATACTCAGTTGCAATCAGACATTTTATCCAAACTCCAAGCCTATCCAATATTATTATTTCAACAAACTCAATTCCAACTATATGTTAAAATCAAATTTTGACTGATGTTCAATGATTAATAAATTAAAAACTCAGTAAATGAAAGCCTATTCTGTTATTCAAAATTTTCAAGCAATGATTAATAATTATTTACTGATTTTATTCTCTACATATTGTAAAAATTATTAAAAAAATTGATTTAAAACTTGAGAAATGTAAATACATGAGTATGTATGTATGCAATTATATGTATATGTATTAAAAAAGGTTGAAACCTGGTAAAGTATTATCATATTCATTCATATTGTAATACTGGAATATCATGACTGATTACATGAAAATGCTTAAAATGCCATAAGTGCAATAAGTGTAATAAGTTATATTTATGATCAGAAACAGTATTTTGGGTCCAAAGAGATAGATAAGGAACAAGAGGAGGAAATAAAGAATATTAAATAAATACATGTAAATAGCTTTAATTAGTTTTAATAGATAATAAGTGTAAAGTCACATTTATAAGTACGAATTTAGTATAATAAATGAAGGCCGAAATGGCCCTTAGGAGCAATATGCTTCATTTGCTTTATTAAATTACAAGTCCCTATGCCTTATACCGCCCATAATGAACACTAACACTAATACCGATATAAACCCTGTAAACCACATTAAACTCCGTTATTCGTTCGAGTTATTTATCACGTGACTTACCCTGATTGTATTCGTTGACCCAAAGTAACGAAAGCCTTATTCACCAACCAGCCAAATCTAACACCCACTTTCGAAAAGGTTACCTATCGTACGTTACACGATAATTTGAATTGTGGAGCGACTGAGTCGCAGTTTTCCGAACCCAACAATATGCTACTCAACACCGTCGTCACGGAGAAGGATTATTCGCACCTGCAAATATTTATTCCCCAACACTGACTTATTATAAGGATCTGTATGGCTCACCAAAGATAGGATCGGAAAACTACACTTGCTAAGTAACATAACGGTTTACTTCCAACTAATACTGTAGTGTCAACTTGGTTGAACAAAAAAGAATATCTTAAATCTTTCTAAATGCAATTTCAGAATTTGTATAAATCAAATTTTCTACAGCAATTTTATTTACAAAATCAAAATTCTGGTTTTGTCATTAAATATACCTCAAAGTTATTAATTATCTGACAAATAATTTTCATTCATCATTTATCTTTTAATTCTTTAAATTTTTCATTGATTAATTTTACTAAATCTTTATACTTCAACTCAATTAGTGATTCAACTTGTTCATGCTGTTCTTTAGAAAGTTGAAGAGCATTCATAAAATTAGGAGGAAGATAGGGCTTTTTATAGACCGTCCACTTATTATTTTGGATATCTTTTGCAAGGTTTCGAAGTTCTATTGTATGAGCTTCATAAAAGCTTTTTATTTAAATAATTTAAATCGTAAGTATATAAAGATCTTATGATATTTTATTTTGCATTTAAACAACTTACATAATATACGGAAACCAATTTTCTTTTCTTCGTTGATGAGGCAACATATAAAATAACTCAATTTCAGATAATACCTATATTGATAAATATCAATTAATTCACAAGAAAAAATTCCTCCAAGTTAAATATACGTACAACTATTAATAAAACAAAACAGGATAATACCTCAGCTTTTAGAATTAAAAATGATTCTTTTGTATTAGTGTCACTAATTTCATTACTAAGCAATCCGATAAATAAATTCATTAAATAAATTGTTGATAAAAAAGCAAATGCAATAATAAAAATGATCAAGATAGGGTTATCACTTAAATTCCAGTCTGATACCGGTGACGTATCTCCTATTAAATTTAAAGATTACACCATGTGTATAATGTAAATTTAGCAATTATAAATGTTTCACAATGCAGATTTCAGGTTACCTGTGAGCATAATATAAACAGATAAAATTGCACTGCTTATCGTTGTAAATGAAGAATATTCTTCGGTTGTACTATTGGAATTATCAGATGCCTCAGAAATGGGGAGTAATAAGAGATGCAATGAATGCGCAAAAGCAAATATGATAAATCCTAATATCATTAAAAATGAAAATGCTCTTCGTGCAACCCCAAGAATCATAGAAAAGTAAGCGCCAGAAAATTCAATAGCGCGAAAAAATAAAAGAAATTTAATTTCCATCAATAACGTAGAAACAGCAACCATTAATATTGGCATGGCACCATTTTTAAGCCATATAGATGAGGTTATGGTTGGTAATAAAAATGCGCCCAAATCTTTATAATAATAGAGTAAAAGACAGAGAATTAGGCAAATAAATAGAAATTAATATATTATTAACATATTTAAAGTTTAATAATACCAAAAAAGTTCCATGAACTAGAAATATATGATATTGGGGAATAAATAAATTGACGTAGCTCGAAAAATAAATGCCAAACGCCCAAGAAAATGGTCAATTTCAAGAAACAATATAAACTATCACGAGAAATATTTTTGGATAATGTTGATGCTATTGTAAAACTACAAAGAAAAATAGTATAAATTGCCCATATTATTAAATAATACATTCTTCCATAGGTATTCCACTTAAACTCGAGTAACGCCTCTCCATTTACATGTTTATATAATTCATAATTGATCATCTCAGTATAAGGTGAATTTACAAAACAACTGGGTTCAGGCCGCAATAATTCATCCCAATAATTATATTCCTTTGGATAAGTAACAAAATTCGGGAAAGGAATTACAAGTTTTATCGAACTATGACTTGAGTTATTGAACGGATTTATAAATAAATTTTCAAACCTATTCCAATGCATAGAAATATTAGAGATACATATATCAAGAAGAGACGTTCTAGATAAATGACAGTATGTTCCATAACTGAATAAATGTGAAGACGTTGATTTTAGATCAGGAATATCAGAAGCAAGTACAAATGCTATTTGAGTTAAAAGACTAGCTATATATGTAGGATGATCTTCTGATAGTTCTGAAAAGTTCTCGAAAATAATACTTAATAGAGAGATTCTGAAGATCATTATTTGCTGTTTCCTCGCTGTTCCAAGTAAACACTTTTTACCTAAATCACGAATCCAAAAATCATTATTTAACTTAATGAGTGTTTTCATTAGATCCTTTCCGTAACAAGTTAGATAAAATTCATCATCAATATTATCTGTTAAAAATTTATAGAAGAGTTTACTTTTCTCATTTTTTTACCAAATTCAATATCTAAATTTTGACAAACTATTTCATAACTGGGAGCAGGTAAAATTCTTGCTATATATTCATAATTAAAGAACTCCTTTATATTTGTTTTTTCAAGGTTAAAATTTCTCAAATGACCATCCCAACCTTTCAGATTACAATTGTTCCAATAATAATTGATCCTAATTTCCTTTTGTACTTTGTTGGGTATAGGTTTAACGGACCAAACAAATATACCAATTTGTGTAGTCGTGATTAAATTATCATTCTCAAGAAGGTCGCATTGTAATACAAATTTACACCCATCATTATAAAAAGTTGGAAGGATATCCAGCTTCCATGTGTGTTGACTATTTTTGGCCTCAAGAACTACTGAATCAGATTTGCAATCCAATCTCCATCGAAATAGAATTCCCTGAAATTCTTTATTTGTAATATATCCGTTACTATCACTATTCAACTCGTTTATTATTTTATGTGTTTTTCTCGCTGGTGCTGTAACGCTATTCATGTCGCCTAGATCATTTCGTAAATAATTGATCCAATCTTCACGAACTAGTTCCTTGATTAGCAACATTTCATCATTCATGTAAATGATTTTGTCTGATTTAATTATGTATGGTGATTTAGTTGTATCAACTTCAAAAAGTTTATCGGCATTTATTTTCCCTTTAAGTATATACGGATCCATTAAAAAGCAAGATCTCTTGTCGCTTGCTGGATCTCGCGTTATTAACATTAACCTTTCTCCTTTTCCGGAAGCAATCAAATGAAAACTGTCCATTATTTCTTCATTTTCATCTAAAAAAAAAAAAAAATTATATAGTGATTTTATATTAATTTATAATTATCGGGCAGAAAGTGAAAAATATGTATATGATGGCAGATTGCACCGTGCAGCGGCGCAATTTAAGTTAATTATTTTCCATCATCTGCATGTTTTTTTACGTTCTACTCAATAAGGACATTATTGTGAAGCAATTATTTGGCAATTATACTTTTTTTCACAATCGTATAGCATATGTCATCAATTTAAATATTTTCATACCCATTTTTCTTTAGGATGAGACAATCAATAAAATTTAAGAAAAGATGATAAAGCAGTGATGACATAAACTGCACGAATATGAAAATTTTTAGTGCAGTCGTCAATAACATGACAGCACAATAATAATGTCATTTGATGCCTTACAATAAGCTAAATTTATCCAAGTTTTTGTTGAAAATACACATATGCGCATCTTTATATCTTCTGTTTTTGTATGTACTAATAGCAACTCTTCATCTTCGCTAAATCCAATAGTTTCAAGAACATAATCCCACTCTATTAAAATATGAGATTGAACAGATAATGTTTCAATATCCCACATAGTTATCTCATGAATCGTATCATTATATATGATAAATTTTCCTTTAGGGGTTACGTAAATTTTCTTAAAATACTTTAGTTCAATCGCTGATATACAGGTCCAGACAAGATTATCCTTTCTGTCACATGAAAAAACGTATGCTCTGTAATTTTTAGCATTGATCGTTATAAGATTTCCGTTGTTAATAAAGGCTAAAATGTCAATTTCTTTTTGTCGGTCCGGAAAACGTAAAGAAACCTCTTTTTTATTTGCAATATTATAAAATGCTTTAAATATTACAAAAAATTTATATAAATACTTTAATATTTCGAAATGGCAAAATATCAAAATATAAAAAAATATAAGCTTACTAAAATTATAAGGACTGATTTGGCTGACTCTATCTTTATCAAGCCTAACGGAAACATGATTATTATCCGAGACTGCAAAAAGTCTAGAACCTTCTGGCTTTGTGCAAATGGCGTCAATAAAGATTGCTTTATCATAGTTTAAACCCCCATTAACAATAGACCAAAGACCAATGCACTTTTCTTTATATAATACAGCAACATACTTCATTTTTGGCGAGCAAGCAATTTCTAAAATGTCCTTTATTACATTTTTTTCTGGAATTTCTTGGTCTATTTGAACGTTAACATGTGAATTATCATGAATAGCTTCCATTCCCACAATGACTTTGTAATAACCTTTTAAAGAAATAAAGGTTTCTATAACAAGGCTTATTATGATCCAGACCTGCAAAATGGAAATATTTATAAGATTTGGAAATTGTAACCAGATATGAATCAAATAATTAAAAATTCTAGGCTTAATTCATAATACTAATATTTGTATAAAGTGGCCATGTAGATTAAAATATTATTTTGAATGTCATTGATACTCGACTGAAGTTGCTACACCTGCCTAAAATTGTTAACTAATGTGTCAAGATCTAATTCTAGATGCTAATGTCAGTCAAGTGAAACTTTATTCACGACATTTCCCAAGAGAAAGCTGTAATTCTTTTGATGTTTGAAAATTTCATTTTCAGAAATAAGCATATTATAATCTGATAAGCCTCTTTTCTGTAGTTCCTGGTAAGCCTGACCTAGAGAATATTTTGTTTTACTTAAGCTTAAAATATCTAATGTGTACACGTACTTATATAAGTGGCTCATGTGTGAAGGTATGTATTTGTTGATTCAACATGCTAAGCCTCGTGTGAAAAAGTCTTTTTCTTACTATTCAACATTAACGTTAAGTTTTTATAATTAATTTAGCGTTAGGGAATAGAGTTGAACTATAATGACCCAGTTCGGGATTTAAAACGTTATCGTCAGAGGCTTAGAGGTACAGACATCTTTGTGACAGTGCCACCTCAATCACATTACAACTGCAAACACAGCCTACGTATGTATTGTCGTGGGTTGTAATATATGCTGTAGGTCGTTATAAATGTTTGAGGTCGTATGACTGTAATAAATTCGCAATACTTGTCGTATTTATATATAACATATTATAGAGGTGATTTGGATCTAGCTCTAGCGTTTCAGGAGAAAATAAAATATCTTTACACTTTCTGTTCAAACTTTGATAATTAAGCGCAGATTTTGTAAGCTTTGCGAATGATCATTGTTTTAAACGAAGCAAGAAAAATTATATACGGTAGTTCAAATCATAAAATAAATATAATTTAATAAAACATGAACCAGTTTATATGCGAATACATTGTATAATTGTTCTGTGTCATTTTTCAATTTACGTCGATCATTAATTGACATATGTCATTTATAAATTGTTAAATGACATATGTCGTTTTAAAATCGGTACCCATTTACCGATTAATAAAAAAAATAAAGCGAAAAAATATTAAAAAAAATAAAGCTTCAAATAAAATAAAATAAAATAAATTTAAATAAATAAATAAATTAAAAGCAAATAAAAATGAATTATTATATGCTTGACTAAATGCTAGATTCTAGCTAAATTTGCATATATTAAATAAATACGTTCAAATTTTCATGCATATATTTAAATATTTTTGCATTTTCCTCGTAGAACACATCTGCATTTCTTGAACATAGCAAATTTTTTTTTCTGCAAGAACATGACTTGGTGTCACAATTTGTTTTTCAGCATTAGCAGGAATCTGGTTGGGTGTCTTGGCTTGACCCAATATTACGATTCATATGATTTGCAACATTAATAAAAGTTATGTAATTAGTATTTGTTTTTTATTGCTTTTTTATTGCTTTTTTATTTAATTAATTAATTTTTTTTTGATTACTTACTCAAGGAATGTATTTGGCAAATACTCATTAACATTATGAGCTTGACTATCTTGAATATTAGAGGTTAGGTGCTTGTTATTATAATTGGTTGATCTTTTATGAGTTGGACATGTAAGGTTTTGCCTGACACTTGCTTCTCTCAACAAAAGTATATTATTTAATAGTACAATGCTGAGATCAGGATAATTTGAAGTATCAAGTAATTCAAGTTCATTCACTAAGTACCAATTGTTGAGGATTCCGAATTTACAGGCAACTTGGTAAGAGTCATGGTTGGGTTTTTTCAGAAGGACTTTGCATGACAAAGATCTTTGATTCATCTTTAATTTGTTAATACTAGGAATGCAAATTTTTACCAAATCACCAGGCTCATATGCTTGATTTTATTTAACTTTATACTTTGTTTTCATTCTGTTTTTATTAAGTTCATGAATTTTTTTAACATTTAAAAGAGTTGCTTGTCAAACAATTTAATGTTTTGGATGAATAGATTGAATTGAATTTGTAATGTTAAATAATGGAATTCTTTTTTTTTAAATATTAATGATGAGGCCATGCTTCTATCTTTATTGAATATTTATTTGTAATTTTTATATAAAGTATAAATTTACTATTAAAAATATTATAAAAAGAGTAGAAGCTCAGACTAGTTTATCTGTGAC